CGAACCGTAACGTACGTTACGTTATATAAGAAGAAGAAGAATATATATATATATATATATATATATATATATAGTGTTATTGATATGCCTATAATATCTATAGCATGAAGAATTTGTTGTACATACGTTTAACTTATTCCGAATATATATATATATATATATATATATTATTTGGAAAACAAGTGATGTATGTGCTGTTCATTTATCGTTGAATTTATCACTAACAAGTCACAGACACCTACTGTAGAAGAATCCTAAGCCCAACAACAACATTGTACATATTTATACTATTAAGAAATATAAGTAAAAGGCTTTTATTTTGACAATTGGCAAAAAAATAATATTATTTAAATTCTGACAGAGAACATGTGTGAGTACATTATATGACGTCATCTATTACAACAATGTAAACAATTCACCAATTCCAGTCCCAAAACTCAATTTGGCTCTGGGATTCATTCAAAAGCTTGATTCTGTTTGAACAGATCTAATAAGAACTGGAGAAAAGTGATATATCACAACTTAAGAAGTAATTGTACACATAGTTAGGACAATAATGTACAAATTTAGACAATTATAGAATTGAGAAAATTTCCATCGTATAACAGTCTATTTGAGGTATTTTAAATACACAGCCAAACTATATAAAATACTGGTATATTATTTTCTGTTCTTTTTTAGATAAAATATAAAAATGCAACATTAAAACACCAATTCATTATCAAGGCTGCACCATTTCAGTGCCTGATGAAAATATCACATTATTTCTGTGATTTAAATTAAAGCATTAGCAGAACAGGAATCACCATTTCAAGTCATGCAGACCATACAGATAAGATAATTCCTAGTATACAATGAAAATGTGAGTTACTACATTATTAGAACTTCGTCATGTTAATTTTTTTTTGGTTTGCTACTTCCAAAAAGCGTACTAGAAATGTTAAATGAACTACAATAAACACAAACAACAACAATATTTTAAAAACTCAACAGCTTATTCTATCCCTCTGTAACTAGCATTTCACTGTAGGCTTTATTTCAATAAATTATTTAATTTTTTGTTACTTTCTCATATTATCTCTCCTTTAATTGATCTTCTGAAACCCACCTTGGCAAATTGTTTAGCTTACATTGTAGTAATAGGTGACATTACCGTGATATATATACGTCTGTTCTTACCTATAACACTGACTTTTGAATATTGTTCTGTTACCAGATGATAGTCCCAGAAACAGGATCAAAAGCTTGCAAATTAACATTTCAACATGGCATAAACCTCTTTATAGGTGTCCCATTAACAAATACATTACTTGCTTAGCAATACTAACTACCAGTAGTATAGAGTTATGTTATCTAGTATAAAACCTATATGATGGTGACAATAAATACGTATATTGGAGTCTTACACATTTAAAGCTGAATTCATCAAGTAACGGATTAGAGAAGATTTGCCAGTGTTTTTCCCTCCACAAACAATGATGCAAGGTCCTCCAAGTCCATCTCTTTCTTGCATTTGAAATGGTAAAAATATAAAACATTAACAATGTACAACAGTTAAACCATAACCATTACAAAAATGCATAACACTAACAGCATATACAATTTACCTCTGGGATTCAAAAGTTTGATTCTTAAAAGGAAATGGTGAAGAAGTTCACTTAAGCTAGTAAAATGAAAGGATCATATAATGATTGAAACCCTAACACCTAATACATGACAACATGCAATGTAACCTTTCCCAGATTTGGTGACAAATATGATTGTATTCTAACACATTACTGGTATAAAAATGAGCATGTAGTACACAATTTCTTACAAGATATCCCACAAACAGGAAAAGCTAGCTAAAAGTACAATGGTTCACAAGGTTTTCAATTAATGTCCATCAGATGTTCAATTTAAAATATATGTAATATAGTTATTAATAAAATTAAAAAATAAATAAAATATTTTTTCAACATATTCTCCAGTCTAGTATCCATTTCAGTTGTCACAGTTTCGATGCAATGTGCATGCATAATTTTTCACTGGGAAGCAAGATAAATACCTGATGTACACTAATGTGGACTTTTTGTAGCAACAAGGCACGGCTTTTTTCACAACAAACAATTGATTTTACTATCCTGGATTTTTATAGCAAGGAGGCATGGTTTGTTTTACAATAAACAATTGATGTGTACTATCCTGGATCTTTATAGCTAAGAGGCACGGTTTGTTTTACAATAAACAACTGATGTGTACTCTCCTGGATTTTTATAGCTAACAGGCATGGTTTGTTTTACAATAAACAATTGATGTGTACTATCCTGGATTTTTATAGCTAACAGGCATGGTTTGTTTTACAATAAACAATTGATGTGTACTCTCCTGGATTTTTATAGCTAACAGGCATGGTTTGTTTTACAATAAACAATTGATGTGTACTATCCTGGATTTTTATAGCTAACAGGCATGGTTTGTTTTACAATAAACAACTGATGTGTACTCTCCTGGATTTTTATAGCTAAGAGGCATGGTTTGTTTTATAATAAACAATTGATGTGTACTACCCTGGATTTTTATAGCTAACAGGCATGGTTTGTTTTACAATAAACAATTGATGTGTACTATACTGGATTTTTGTAGTTAGAAGGCAAGGCTTGTTTCATGATAAATGATAGATGTGCACTATCCTGAATTTGTGCTTTGAATAAAGGAAAGTTACTATTAAGTTTGTTTTATCATTTAGAAATATGTCTAAAACATAAATATTTATCATTCTGGCCTAAGAGATCTCAATGTTCGTTTTGGCCTAATCATACCTTCAAATACTTTTTTAGTTTTTCTACTGCACACGTTTGTACTTTAGGATTAAATTATAGGTTAGAGATTAATACCTTGCAGTATTATTGATCTTTCACATATAAACAATTTTTGGTGTTTTATTCATTTATTAGATCTTTTTTTTTTTCCCTCTTATTAACAGGACTCCCACAAACCAGTGAGACACATTTCTGTTGAAAAAAAAAACAACTACCCAACCCAGTTTTTCTTAACTTGAATTGAAATTTTTTTTACATATTTATTGACTAAAAAGAAGGCATTTCCCGCATTCTTTTAGCATTAGGGCTACAAAAAGTGATTTGAAGTGGTAAGGTGATTGAAATCCATCAGTGCATCAAGAGCTTAATGGTCAAGCACAAGAAGCATGGAAGTCTCCAAATGACACACAGAGGTATTCAGGAACCATTTAGAACCACCTTGGTAGATATTGTGCAGCAAGCTAAGTACAATATTATGCCTGTAGCTGCTTCCAAAGTGTTCCTGTCTGCTCATTCTACAAGATGCTTCAACCTTCCCTACCAAATCACAGGTGAAATTGTTTGTATCTCAATTGAAAATGAACATAAAAAAGGTGATAGCAGAAGTATAAAAGGTTGGCATTTGCTTAATTAATGATGCTGAGGATGTGGCTTTATTGATATATACTGAATTTACTCCCAGCAGGTTGGATCTTAGTACTAGCTAGTATGGAGCCTTGATGATGCTGTATTTCATGTAAAATTTTATCAATTAAAAAACGAAAACTTGTCTTGAAAATATACATCCAAAACCACACTCTTTGGGAGTTTCCAGATTGAACTTACTTTTAATATTCAATAAATTCTAGTGTAAAGCCACCCATTGGTTCCTGAAGGATATGTTAAAAAAATTAGGAAAGATTACAAGTACCACACTATATATAGTATCTTTATACTTTCATATTAGAAGAAGTACATTAATGCTTGCTAAAGTAGAATTGTCCCTATTTAACACAAAAAGTATGACTTTCTACATATCTTGCTTTCACTATAATACAAGTCACATAAGTATAAGACTAAACTCCTGGTATTTATGTTTTACACAATATTCTTAACAGCTGGTATCCAGATTTTATAATATTGCTTAATAAGAAGACATCACTGAACATCTAGTAACCATGTTTTACACAATACTTAACAAGAAGGCACCAATGAACATGGTATTCAAACTGATGTATGTACACTATGTACCTAAAAAAGAAAAACTACCAATACAAGGTTCTTTACAGTTTTATAACATACTTACTTGATTTCAATATTTCTTGCATTATTTGTCCGGCCAGATTCTCATAATCTTGTTCAGGAATAAATTTTAACCTTTCATCTTTTGTAGTAAGGCTAAAACCATATTTCTTATGATTAGGAAGAACTAGCAGATGATGCCTGGGGTCATGTACAGCTGCTGGAACAAAAAGTTTTTTGGTAAATGTAGTTACATACTCAACTTCTTTGAAAGTTGGTAACTTCTTCAAAACTATTAGGACTGAGAAACTGTCAAATACAGAAGATACTTTTGATGCAAGGGATTCCAAGTCTTCTTGTGCTAACCTCTGTACAAGATGTCGTTTTACAGTCATGCCCACGGGTACAGCTTCAACCGTCTCAGTATTTATTCCTATATAGGAGTGACATTTGCCGGAGAACACTGGAAAGAATGAAGCACACTGTGAACTGAGACTATGTCCTAGAATGTTTAATGAGCCGCTGAGCACCCGTACTAGAGCTTTCCCATACATCAATACTTGAGTAGGATGGTGAAGAACAGCAATGACTGTATTACTTGATGGAAGAGGGAAGATACTGACATAAAAGAAGAAAAGAAAGAGTTCAAACTAAAGCTTCTAGAAAGTAGCTCCTGAAAAGCTACTACATGTATACCCTTCATATTTTCTATGGGGCACCCAAAAAACACAAGGAAAGATGTCCATTTAGATCGATTGTAACTAATACTAGTACTTACAATCATGAACTGGCAGGCTTTCTTGAAAATATATTAAATCATTAAGCATTAATAAAGTTAATATTTCAGAGAGTTTCAGTTTGTGAAAGAAATAAAAAATCAAATTTTGGAACTTGTGTTTATTGTGCTAGCTTTAACATTGAATAATTATTCACAAACACATTGTTAGATGAAACACAGAATATACTTGTTAATCTGGTTTATCATCAGGATAAATGAAACAGATTCACTAGAGAAGTATTCATAAAGTTATTGGACTTAGCTACAATTACTTTGTGTTTAATCAAGAGATATATAATCAGATAAACAGAGTTGCTATTGGATCTAGATTAGCACTAGTATTGGCTAATCTGGTTCTACAGTTTTATGTAAAATGTTGGATGGATAGATATTTTGAAAAATTTAAACCTATCTATTAGAAAATTTATGTACATGACATTTTTATTATTTTTAAACCAAAAAAACATTTACAAAAAATTTTTGATGACTTAAAAAGCAAACAGTAGAACATCAAGCAGAAAATAAACTACCATTTCTAGATGTATTGGTTGAAAATAAAAATGGGCTTTTTAAATGTGAAACACACCATAAAAAGATTTTACAGGTTTATACTTTAACTATGATAGCTTTATTCCTGATTTATATACGATTAATTCAATTAGGATTTTAGTACTTAGAACATACAAAATAAATAGTACCTTTATTAGTTTACCAAAAGAACTTGATAACATTAAAAAGTTCTTGATAAAAAATGAGTTTTCTCATAAAATTATAAATTTATTAAGGACTATTTGAACAAACAATATTTGTCCTCAGAGATACAGACTACAGTTACAAGAGAGAAAGTGTGTATTTCTTTATGGTCTATAGTAACACATTCTTTTGAACTAAAAAAAAATCTAACTGAATACATAAAAGAAGTTATTCACAACTTCAGTTTATATTAAATATTCTATTCTATTATATTCATGTTTATATTAAATCCAATATGTAGAATTAAAAACTTCTTTAATGTGAAAGATAAAATACCAAAAATTATTAATGAAATTCTTTAGAGTTTCTCCAAACATTCTACTACTTGCCTACTTAACTAGAAGCTCTCTCTATAATACAATATACTATTATATTGGAAACTATCCCATAGGTTTAACAAGCCTATATGTCCCTCTGCATCCTTAAGATAATTCCACAATCCAATCTTCAGTAATGATGTTTTAGTAATGTTGCAGTGGCTCACAAAGGATAATGACCCACTTTTCAGTCAATTCATTGAAATTTAATATTCAAGAAACTTTACAAATGCTTTCCACAGTAGCCTTTGCAATTTTGATTGGAATGATCATTATTGTGGAAATATTTAGTGGTCTGTTAGTAGAGTAAATGTTTATAAATCAAATTTACCAGTAATAAATTAAGAAACTATATCCCACCTGAAATACACCATTAAATACGGAGAGAAGCCAGCAAGGAAATAGGGATAACAAAAATGATTGTATATAAATACACATATTGATAGTGCTTGAAGTTTTCTTTTTCTTATGAAAATGACTTACTGAAATGGTGGTCGGTGGTCCGTTTTGGCTGGACGTAATGGTTTTTGAGATGATTTAACTGAATGTATTGATGTCACCTGAAATAACAACATTTATCCACTTACAAAATGATGATAACTAGTAACTAATTTAAATATTAGTTGCTTCTTAAATGTTGTTTAAAATAATAATGCATCGAGTGTTTAATTATTTCCAGATTACCAAACCAAGTAGTCTGTTTGTTGTTAAACACAATGCTATACAATAGACTATCTGTGCTCTGCTCGTTATGAGTATCGAAACCCAGTTATTAGTGGTATGAACTCTCAGACTTACCGTTGAGCAACTGAGGGGGCAAACCCAAGTGGTATGTACAAAACTTTGAAATAAAGTATTAGTACCATCACGTTTCAAGCATCAAATACACTAAAACAAAATCTGGATTCCATGTTTCAAAATCAGGTTACATTGTGGATTGCAATAACACATTGTTACTGAATGTCTGATATGTAATGACTTTCGGAATGTTAAGACAATGTTAATCTTTCCTGATAACTATTCAGAAACTACGAGTACTGCTCAGGAAAAAGAAAAAAACATACTGTATTATATTGTTTTAAACAGTAAATCATCTTATACTGTAACATACAGTATAATACAGATGTTATTCATATAAGAGCCTTAACTCAACAGATATTGAGTTATTCATATTTTAGCCAAATTTCATTTTTGGTGACAGGTGTTTAAATCAGTTGTATCCAATATACAATTCTTCATTTAACAAACATGCCTAATGTAATTATAAATATACAAGAAATTGTCTCTAAAGGTTCATCAAGAGTTGTAATTATTTCTGATGAAAGAAATGATATACATTTAATAATCTTTCTGAAATTAATTATCTAAGATAAAATGATATTTCACTTTTATATTGCTATATCAGTATGAATAATCACCTCAAAGTCATTTTAAGTATTAAGTTAAAACTGAAAATAAGAAAGATCAGTAATAATGCATTTAAAATAACAAATACAATCCTTATGTTCTTACAAATAAAATAATGTTCAAAACAAACTCATTTAAGATCACAAAAAAAACTAAAATATAAATGATATAAAAAGTTTAGTTTTTCCTCCAAGTTTTTTATAAAAAATATGCATAAAAAGAAAGTAATTTCAATGTTCTACTTTATCTTTAAATTGTAACTTAAACTTCTATTATAATGAAATGCAAGTTATATCTGAGAGAAATGCAGATCTCATAAGCTACCAGAACTGTGTCTGGAATATGTTACTAAGTCTCAGTTTCATATATTAAAATCTAAGAATTTGATTTCATTTAAAAAATATAATAAATTTTACTATTACATTAGTAAACAAAGAATCTGTTATCAAAACACCTAGTTACATCTTTATACCACACCTGTTTACAGTTTCCTTCTTCTTGCTGTTCGTCCTCGTAATTACCAAATATAACACCAGCATCTTCCATATTTTTGTTTTCTTCATTTTCATTCTCATCATTCACAAGTTTACCATTTTCAGTATAAGACATTTCAGAGTTCTGCATAAATGAAGGTAAATCTTCCCATTCAGATGTTTCACTTTCAGATGTTTCTGATGCTTTGCCATAAGGTGAAAGAAATGTCCCTTGATTAGCAGCAAATGATGGTGAATCTACTATTTCTACATCACAGGGAGTGTATAATTTTGCATCATGAATATCCAATATTCTCTCATCTTCATCACTTTCACTAATACTGATGTCTTCATCTTCATTACCTGAATATTTGTGATTTTTGTTAGTTGGCAGTCTATCAGTGCTAAATTTAGGGTCTTTCTCGCTGCTATCAGTATCATCAACACAAGGGTGTAACTGTGTTTCTATGTGACTTGATTCATCATCAGTCTGACTTTTATCATCTTCACTGGATGAAGAAACTAATAATTTCTCAACATGAGTTATTTGATTATACTCTTCCAAACTTTCAATGGAGTTATCATCATCATCATCTTTTTGAACATTATATGTTAGGCTTTTAGGGCTTGAGTTAGCAAATTCTTTTCTGCCATCAAACCCTGTCACAAATATTTGTCCTTTAGGAGTATTTTTTATGTCAGAATTACTTATGTAAGTCACATTTTCTTCTTCTGAACTGTACGGAAATGGAATCTGGTTGAGGGGTTGATATAGTTTTACAGATTGCTTTCTCTTTGATAATTTTGACTTGCCTGGTGAGGGATTGGAATGCTCAGAATTCATTTTGAAAGAACCCTGGTAGATATCTTGAATACTTCTATTTGAAGATGGCAGTCTGACTGTTCTAGATTTTTTCTTCAATAAATTTTTATTTCTAGAAATATCTTTAATTTTGTTACTCTTTTCAACCTTACATGTTGTACTAAATGGCTGTTCCTCTGAAAAGCTATAACTTAATCTTCTAATATTTCCTGCACACTCCTTGCTTACCAGGCTATGACTGAGATTAGTTTTACCAGAACTAGAACGGGTCATACGACCCATGAAAGATCTCAACCAAGGTTTTTTCTTCATTTCATTTGGAATCTTTTTGAAAAAATTTCCTATTTTACTGCTTTTTGAAGACTTCTGCTTTGGAGTTTTTCCCATACCTTTATGAAATAGAAAAACATGATTCATTAGTACATATGTGTGTGTGTGTGTGCAAGTATTATCTTTAGGTAGTATGCCTAAGTTTGTTCACATAAATCATTTTCCTTGCTTAGAATGACAGACATCACAAACCTTTCACACGAATAACTGATCATTTTCTTAGTTTATATAGTATTACAGAGCAACTACATCACATGTCTGACCAGAATATTACTAAAATGTCAACTTTAGCCCTATAATTAAACCAACTTGGTAAACAAAAAGAAAAACTATGTGATTTAAATATGCATGCAGTCTTAAGTGCCACAAATCATGAGGTACTAATCCCGTTTTGCAACAAAATGTGGAAATATACTGAAGGTTGTAAACTTCCTGCCAAAAAAAAAACAAATATCAAGTAAGACACATTACAAACACAGAAAAATTAAGAATAGAAGAAAGTGCAGGATTCAAAAAAGTTGGACACATGACTGTTTGTGATTACAACTTTAGGACTTGCAGGTTAGTACAGCAGCAGAACTATTCAAACATTCATATCATGTATTGCATTACATGTAATGAAGCAGGTACCTGTGATGCTTTTGTGAAAAACAATAGCTTATTTATAACTAAATGTTCACCATTCAAATTAGTATGTATACAAACTCCATATCACTGGAAACTTTATAAAAAAAATTATAACAGAAGCTAAGATTAACCCAAAGGCAATACTAGCTCACAAGATATTGTGTGAACTAAACCAAACATTATATAAAAGTTAATATGATGTATAAAAGTGAAGATTCTAGCAGAACACAAGAAGACATATTTAGATTAAGAATGGCTATGTCAACTTGATAAGGCCGAGACTAGGGACTGTTAGATGGCAAAGGTCTCCCGTGCTCCACTTGAAGAGGGGGGGGGATTTGCAGAGGGAAGGCCTGGAAAAATTCCCAGGTGCCCATCAGAAACCTATTAGAAAGGTCTTTTACTGTAGACAGTGCAGCAGGTGATCACGAAACCCTATTTTCAAAAGCCTACAAGTGCAAGCCACAGATGTAAATAGCCACCTCTTTGGTACCTGACTTTTTCCATGATAGTCCATGGAATAATACAGTCTGAATCAGGCAATTAAATAGTGCAAATACCTTTAGGGATCTTGCAGAACACCACATCTCAACAGTGGGTACTGTTAGAGCTAGGACAGATGGGTTGAGTGCTTTCTGTTATCCCTAATCACATACAGATTTGGAGAAATAAACATACCCTGAGAGGCAGCAAACCACCTGGCAGAATCCAATAAAGAGGAAAAAAGGCACTGAAAAAAAAAAAAATACTTACCAAATATGGTATGCAGTTGTATGGAAGAAATGTGACTGGAGGGAGCCCAAATCCTGCAGGAGCCCAAAACAGCCAGCTGACACAGTTAAAGGGAGATAGATGTGTCTAGGTTCATCCACATGCCTGCCTGAAGGATGTCATTCAAGAGTCAGTGAAAATGGGATGCAAGAGAGTGAGACAGTTGAAGAACCTGATGTGGCAAAATGTGAAAGAACAATTTCTCTACCGAGCAGCTGAAGTGTGGGAAAGAAAGGTCCAGTCTGAATAAAGGAGAAAGCAAGAATAGTGAAAGAGTGTGCAGGAAGCTTTGATGGCATATACACCCGAACAATGACAAGAAGGAGAAGAAAATATGTTTTCAGAGAAAGACGGAATAATGAACATGAAGTCATCAGCTTTAATGGAGCCTGTGGAAGAGTATGTAAAACCACAGTTAAGGGGTCCACCTCCCAAGCAGGTAAAAAAAGATTCCAACGACTGGGAATCAAGGAACAGAAATGAAAAATGGCTGTAAGCAGGAACAAGATAGTCAAGTAAACTAGAAAGGCCAAGTACATTAGAACAGGTGTCCAGTTGAACAAGAAACAAACCTGCATTGACCCTAAAGTTAGGTGAAGAAGGAAAAACAAAGTAGTCTGTGGTATGGGTTTCACATGGAAAACAGAGGAGGAAGCAGAGACAAAGGGGAAGGAGAAAAAAATAAATAACATAACTGTGAAATCATGTCAAGAAAGAGACTTAAAAATTTATAATTTTCCACCACAGATAAAGCTGTGCCTAGAGCAAATGCTGGTGGGAGATATAGCCAGTAAAATCATCATCATTCTGATTATGTTTCAATCTGGGGAGAAAACATTGGCCTAACATATGGTAGAAGAAGGCCCACTGTGCAAGAAGGAACCCAGAACACATGGAACAATGGCTAATACAGCCACCTCAGACAATGAGCCTCCAGTAGCCACTATAAACACAGGTCCAACACAGGCTAAGAACAACATTGCTAATCCATGACAAAGGGAAATTACTGTCACTTGAGAAGTTATAAAGGGTAAGAAGAAGCAAAAAAACTGTTTTTCTCTTTACGTATTTCAGTAGAAATAAAAGAAATTAGTTACATTTAAACAAGTTCTAAGTTTTGTGAACTACTTCAAATCTCCTGTGATTGATAAGTAAGTTTAAAAACACATGTATGTTAGACAATTACAAGGAAAAGAATTAAGTTATTTCAAGCACAAGTTCTTACGGACAGTTAATGCACGAGATGGAGGGATATTGTTGCATGATGATATCATGCACTAGCACAATGTTAAACACATGATTTTTGGATGGGAGTTAGCTCAAAGCTAGTGGCATGCAAGTCTCAAAGGCAAACACATGAGGAATGAAGCTATGCTGTGTGAAGAGGTAAGGTATCATCTCGGAAAATCATTTGATGTTCTCACAGATATACTCTGGTTGCATTTGACTGACTATGATGACACATCCATCATGACAAGAGAGAAGGAACTGTATGTCCTACTAAAGAAAGTGCATCCATCAATAACTTTAGCATACTGTTTTGTATTTTGACATGAGTTAGTCTTTAAGGAATCTCAAAATTTACCACACTATATGAAAAAGTATTATCCATGGGTAAGTATTAATTCTATCATAGGACTGCCCTGAACATGCCTGTGTTCAAATGAAGTGAATCCAGTCTTTGTATAAAACTGCTGATTTTTAATCATACTTGGTGCACCAGACAAGTGAGGCACCTGATGAGAACAATAGTTAGTGTGGAAAAACATATCCTATAATAATACAGGATATTTCTTCAGGTAAGTACTTAACTAGTTAATACTGTATATATCTATATATATTTTATGTAATTATGTCTTGCAACTGGAACAAAATTATCAATTACATCAAAATACAAGTGACATTTGATTATTAACAATACAAACCCCAAAACAATACCTTGCTGACATGAGGACATCAAATACCACCTTGAAGTTGCTATGGCCAAGCTTCTTACC